GACTTGAACCGGTAAAGGAATATTAAAGTATCATGTTCTATGTTTTAATTCATCACTTTAACACACACAGGAAAAAGGACAACAACACACTATTCCCCAAACGCGGTTAAAGTTAGCAAAGTGCGAGAGGGGTGACAAGTGCACTGCAGCATCATTCACCACTAGTACAACAACAAAACAGCCAATGACATACTTACATAGTGTGAAGGAATTTGTGTTCAGGGGAGCTTTGGGTTTAGAAAGTCGGGGGTTTGGAGCGGTCGGCGTTGACGAGGTACTCCAAAAAGCGAACAGTCCAAACGACCCCCGTCAAATTCAGAGCTTTACCATTTAAACTGCGCACTGCTGCGCGAGGGTGGAGCTGCACGAGCTGGCCCTCCTCCTCCAGCATCGTCCCGCTGCAGGCAGGCAGCATCCAGTGGCGGCGCCGGAGGCTGGGGGCATGCGCACTGCGGACACCGGCTGCCTCGACGAGTCACAGGAGGGGATGCTGTGAATGAAGAGGTGCTGAATGGAGAAAAGAGTCCTGCTGATACAAAGTTGATTAGAATAAAAAAAGTCAATATAATTAAATGGGAAACTGTAAATTCTCTCTCCTCAGCTCTCTTAGTGGACTGACACCTGCAAAAGGAGACGATGTTTGTCTGTGTGCAATAGGACAGTGGTTTTCAAACTGGGGTCTGGGGTATTGATTGCTATTCATAGTGATCTCTGTTTGATCATCGATACGCTATTTTGTCTTTAAACCTAAAATAAAAAAATAGGGGATTCCTAAAGACAAAATCCTAACAAATTAGGGATCTGTTGTCTAATCTATTGTGGGGGTCCTTGGCATGAGAAGATTTGGGAACCCCTGCAATAGTCAGATAAGGTCTGTGACTATGGTAGAACTTAGTACTGTAAAAGTATGAGATGTTTGCACCCATTTTATGCTACTTTACTTCTACTCCACTACATGTATCTAACTACAGTTACTACTTTTCTTTAGATTTGACTTACAAAGCAAATAGATCAAATTAAAAATATGATGTATTTTATAGATTAAATAAGTTCACTCTGCTGGTTAATACCTTTGATACTTTAAGTACACTGTGCTGATAATAATTTTGTGCTTTTGCTTAGGTAACATTTTAACATCTGTTCATCGTTAATTTTATTATTAATGTTATTATTTACACCTGTGCTTTTACTGCTGCTGCATATCAAAATGCCTTTTGATGTTAAAAAGGCCTAATGAGTATTTTTTTCCCCTCATAAGTGAGGTTGTACATTGTTCCCTGTTGGGTGCGTGTATTTTCAGTTTTGACATAGTCTTTTTGCTGGGCTCAGGATCATACAGTATATAACACCTCAGGTAAAATACTGGATTAAAACTAAAGGCATCACAATTATATGATGGTGACACAGTTACTAAAATCTAATGGGCTGGATGCTCCAATCCCACATCTTGTAGGTTTTTTTAGATTATGCAATCTGCTCCTACTCCTCATAAGGCAAGTTGTCCCCATGCAGCACAGGAATCCCCCCTTTACTGTAACCACTCCAAGAGATTCCCCCCGAATACAAAACTCATAAGTCACATAATGAAAGTGAGTCTTTCTGTGTGTGTGTGTGTGTGTGTGTGTGTGTGTACATCCACACATGTGTCTTCTATCATTACGCACATCACATTCCACTCTCCCAAACATCCCTACCCCCCGCCATCCCTCCCCTGCTGCATCCCTCCTGTTTCCAGCTTCTTTCCAATGGAACTTCCTATATAAGGACACCGATCTATTTGCTCCAATAAATCAAGCCGCCGGTTGATGGCTGGGGCCTGTTTTGTGCCAGACAGGCACTGCACCGGTGTGTGTGTGTGTGTGTGTGTGTGTGTGTGTGTGTGTGTGTGTGTGTGTGTGTGTGTGAGGCCTGATGACAGATCAACATGGAGGACCTCAGGGTTCCCTCTGGCCAACATCAAGGATGAGGGGTGGCGTTAACCAAGGAGAAACTAGGGCTGAAAAACTCATGGAGAGTCAGTGTGAGAGACAAGGCAGAGGGAGGGATGAAGAATGAGACGAGGAGGAGGAGAGAGGGAGACAAAGCAGCAGCAGATACACTGAACAGAGAGGTTGCAGTGTGTGCCATATAAGGACAGTGGGGTCTGTATGGAATCTCGGCAGCTTTCGGTGTTACTTTCAAAGTCTAGCACAGGCAAGCACCCCGAGCCCCAGTGACTAAATATGGTCCAGCAGCAATAGCATTGTTCAAACAAACAAAGTTGTTTCTTTACCTGTAGTTAGCTGTGACGGACAAATTGTTCCATGGTTTATCAGCCTAAGCACACCGAGGCAACAAGGGAATATGCTGTCAGCCCAAGAGGAAAACTACACAGTATTGTATCTGTATTTCAGATGATCTTTGCATTGCACTAAACTTTGTGTCAGTGATTTGCTCACTATGCTAACCCCCACAGGTATCCTACAGGATCATACTCTCTGAATGCTGCCACTTCTATGTCTCTCTTCAATGTGAGGTATGGCGATCCATGCAAGGAGAAAGGACGACAGAACATAAAAAAAAACTTCATGTGGAAGTTTGAGGGCTCTGCGTGCTGACAAAATGAATCTGTTCTAAACTTTGGCCGAAACAAACCCCCCCACCACCCAGTTGTCTGAGAGGAAGAATAATCTCTAACTGATTCCTCAGAGCAATAAATAAACCGATGAAAAGCTGACAGTGACGAGGAGGAGAGGAGGAGGTGGTGGGAGTGAACATGGATAAAAAGTCTGGGTGAAGGATGATTAAATCAATAATAGTCAGCAAAGTCACTTGGAAAAAATTAAACAGAAACATACTGCACAAATCTGAATAAAGTCTTAAGCTAATCTTTTATTTAAAAAAAAGACATGATTGCTACAAATAACTGTTGTTGCACACCTAACATGTATAAAGTTCACCACTCACTACTCAACAGCTGACAGTGTGCAGTATATGTGGACTGTCCTTCAACAGAATGTGGTAGAGCAAATACACAATAAAAACAACACAAACTGTAATGCAGAGCTCTCTTACATACACTATATTTATTGTTTAATGTTTTTCTCCACCCTCATGTCCATAGATGGCCATCTATTGGAGAGAAAATATGTTTATGGATATGGTTGACCCTTGTGGAATGCAATTGCATTCTAATTTGAGCCCAGGGGCAAACATCAGTTCACTCTGCTGCAGTCAAAAGACCACTGCATTCAGTAGTATTTATACAGCTGTCTCTTTTACACACAACTAATTTATACAGTGGAGGAGAAATGCTACCTATTATAGGGCAAACTGCCAATTGAACAATCATGTGCCATTGTTCAACTTCCTCCGCTTATATAGCCATTTTCAAGAGAACGAATATATCTGGTGCCAATAAACTGGGCGGCTCAGGGCCACAGCCTTTAAGGGCAAAAAAAAAGTTTGCTCCAAGGAAACGATGTAAATTCAGACTCCAAATGTCCGAGATAAGGCTCGCTGTAGCACTATTTTCAACATGCATATGCAATAAACAGCACATTATCATTTATAATGGGACTAAGAAGGCAATAAATTAGGACACTGTTTAGAGTTAAGTGTACATTACATCTTGTTGCACAAACTTAATGGTCACATTTCATCTTTACAGCTAGTTGCCCAAGAGGTACGGGAAAATTCAGCAAAATACACTGTGTGCTGACTATAGTGAGTTCATTCTTTCAATGAACTAATCTGAGAGCTATGATCTCATCTATCAAAGCTGCTACAATCAAGATTAAGAGATGCAGATATGGTAGAGGAACGTAAAAACTATTTAGACATGGATTATGTAGATAGTAGAAATGGTGAAACTCAGTGTCCGGCATCATCAGGTTTGGAAATAAATTAGCCAGGCCCGAAGATAATCAGTTCCAGAAACTCTGGATTTTAAGTGGTGTGAGATAAGAATGTCAAGTTTCCTTAAATGGTGAAAGAGGAAGTGAGATGCAAAGAGTATTGGCTTGTTGCAGTATATGTTTGTGTCCTGAAGGTGACGGTGCATCTTTTTATGACTTGCTGAAATCACAGGAAGAGCCCTCCTTTCTTTCCTTCACAGTTAGTATGATTTTAATATTGCGATCATAGCTGTTACGGAGGTCATTAGGCAGTTCCTAAGCTGCAGAGTACACAGAGGTGAACAAGAGGAAGTGAAGCTACAAAAATAAATCTGGAACATGTCTCATTCAACTCAGAATAAATGTGGATTATCAGATATGTGAGAGTAAACATCTTCACAATCATGAGGTATCATGGGTAAATCCACCTTAGACCAGTTTAAGGGTGCAGGGGCTACATCGGTGGGTTTGGCTGCACAGAGCAACACAATGAGTGCCAAGAATATGTTATGACAATCACAGGAAAGTAATTGAATGAAAGCAGGTTGTTCAGCACTATTTAAACTGGACTGTGATGAAAACTGCATAAAGCACAAGCTCAAAAGTACAAACTGTACTTGAAAATATAGTTTCTGGGCGCCTGGTTAACTCAGTCAGTAGAGCTGGTGACCCATATACAGACTTCCTGCAGGGGCCCAGGTTTGAATCCAACCTGTGGCCCTTTGCGGCGTGTCATCCCCTCTCTCTCTACCCCCTGTCCATCTTCAGCTGTCACTATCCAATAAAGGCATGAAAAGGCCAAAAAAAAAAACTTAAAGAAAGAAAATATAGTTCCTATTATTAGCAACGCTCTTTTAACTTTACAAAAGCATTAACTCCATATCTTTATATTGTTAACATATAATAAGATAATTTTAACCACAATATTAATGTAAATAGGGTACCCTATCTTTATGCATAACACCATATGTTCGACATGAACAGATGGTGGCTTTGAGGCTGCAACTAGGTACAACAAAATATCACTATTTTATCATCTGACAGCAGCAGTCTTCTTCTTTGGTGAGGCTGCCACCATGTGGTAGCAAGTAAAATAGCGCTTCCACACACAATTTCAATTCAGCGTAGTGTATAAATATAAAACATTTATTTTTGAACAAGTAAAACACAATATAAAAGTATCAAATATTTGTACATCTAAATGGAGAAGACAACAAGGAATGTTATTTGTAATCATTGACAAAACAATATGGATCCCTGCAAGCAGTGTCACCATGACTGATGCTAAATAACCTAAAGGCAGATATTAAAACCTAAGCAAAAAAGGCCCTTTGGGATCATTGGCAACTTACAACTTTACTCAGGTGAGAACAGTGTGAAAAACAACGAAACTGCAGAAGAGAAACATTATATCACTAAAATCCTTCAAGGTGCTGCAACATTTCATGCCGTCTATTAGGAGTATAAAGTGTATTTGTAGTCCATGCTGTTCCAGTCCTCAGTGCATTAACTTTTAGGCATCAGGTCGAGGTACTGTGTTGCTCGCAGTAGCACCAGCTGGCAGAGAGGCACCCCGCAGAAACATCTTTCCACCACTATCACCGCTGTTCACAAAGTGGGACACCAAGCCATAGAGAAGAGGTCTGGAAATGAAAATGTGATTGTTTGATTTTGATTAACTTTGTATTTATTTAGCAAAGTCTGAATGAGAGAAAATGGGTTGGGTAATAAGGTCAGAATCAATCACAGGTCATTATGGTAACATTGGTACACTCTCTATCCGAATGACTCACCAGTAATTATTCTAATTATGTGTTTTTTAGTTTTCCCTGATGGTACACAGAGATAGAAGTAGAAGTGATAAGAGAAGAAACAGACACAAGCCAGACTACAATCTCTGGTGAATCTTCGGAGCCCCATGTTCTAAACTAAGACGCCCCAGAGAAATGTAGAATTTCACAACACAAACTAATAGCCATGTTTTTTCCAAAACGGTGGTGGGGACAAGCTGAAATGATTAAAAGTATCCCGGCATTTCAAGATGGAACTATGATAATGGCGAGGATTCACAAATTATTATCCCAAAACCGATCATACCCCTGCAGAGTTCAGTAAATATTTGAACAATGTGTTGGCTAACAGACTGTACTGCACTTACACAGACTTGGAGCTTGTATCCTCTGTGACTTTCAGCTCATTTGCCAGGAACTGTCTGTCCAAGGGAACTTCAGGTTGGCCTGACTCTGAGAAAACAAACAGCAGAGTTTGGGAGTAGTACATGTTCCTCTACAATAGTGATTGGTTAAGTTTCAAAAACAGCTGGAATAACACTGCGGTATTTCCCAATTTTGACAAAATTGTTTTTACCACCGACAATAAAATAATCACTAAATAAGCTTTTTTTTTTTTTAAATAATCCCAAAACACTTTTGTGATTATTATTATGGTACACACAATGTACCATGTAAAACATCTCCCAGTCATTTACAGTATGTGTTTATCTGTGGAAATGTTCCCCACAGTTGGTGAAAACACTAGATGTGCTGGCCTCTTTCCACCGACCTGCTGTCAGTACTGATGCCGTGTATCTGTACTTGTTGAACTCCAGGTACTCTCGGATGAGCTCGTTGATCAGCAGGTTTTCGTGGGACAGCGGCGGACGGGGTTCACGCTGGTCATCGAGGGCGCTGAACACCTCTGCCCGGATACGAGCCTTCAGCTGGGCCAGCACACCACGGGACTCCAGCGTTTCCCTCACGGCTACAGGTGTTCACGTTTTATTGGATCAAAAACAAGTTTTAGAAATTAGTTATTCAGCTAACTTAGCATTAACGTTTGTCCAATTAGGCGGTCTTTTCTAATATGCCGTACTCAACTTATTAATTTGGAAATTTAATATTGCCTTATTTTTTTAGAAAGATACAGACCTCTTCAGATACGACTCAATATCGTATTATAATCATTAGGAACCACTCTTCAAATCGGACTACATGTATTATTATTAAACAGTCTCGACTTCAATAAATGTACTTTACCATTTATTCCCACAGCCACCTTTGGCCAGAACGTTACGTTAGCTAACTAACCTCGCTAGCTTGCTAGTGTTAACGTGTGTACAATTGGCAAACCGTGTGAAAACCTAGTATTATGTGGTACCTAGGTTGTATTTATATATGCCGAACTGAAATATAGATTTTGACATTAGAGACAGCCTTGACTCACTATAAGGAGTTGATTTGTTTACAACCAGGGCCTCTTAGTTATTAAAATCGTTGGGTTTTTGAATGGAGATACACGAGGGCATCGTGTTGTTGTCGTTAAGCTTGTTAAACATTAACTTAGCTAACCAGTGTTACTGACAACTTGACTAAAGTATTCAGTAAAGTGATTTTTCGTTTATTTACTTTAGTCTGATATATTAAGGTAGTAAGTAGACAAAATCCCGAATGATAGTGAGCGCTTACCACACTTCAGCTCAGTGATGGTCGCCATTGCAACAAGTGTAAACAAACGACTGTCTCCTGCCACTGTGCATATCAAAGACTTCTGCCATCTAGTGACTGAGTTCTGTAACTACAACTAACTGGTTCATCAGCCACTCATATCCTCATATAAATGTTTTATTTCTGTGTACAAACCTTACACATTGCATCTTCCACCACATTAATACTACATCAGTGTAATATGAATTATTATTTAAAGATTTACATCCTTTAAAAAGAACCGTTAACACTGTTTTTGTTGTATATGATTATGATTATTAGAAGACTTATTAGAAGGCAGTCAAGGTGAATGTATGTAGATTCAGAGTCAGTCACATCCCTGTTTACATGTGTCAAAATATGGCCATTTATACTTCTATTTACATTGTTTTATGCTTAGAATAGTTAATTGTTAGACATATGCATGGTTGGGACAGAAGTTTCAGAAATATTCTCAATTTCTGTGTAATTTTAATGACAGGTTTTCAGAGACCTGAAAGGAATTAATCTTGACTTGGAATTTGTTTATATGGACTTGAAACTTGCTCTGGAAGACTGAATACTTGACTTAGACGTTTTGCAAATTACTTGAGACTGGACTTCAGTATGATAATGCATATAGCTCAATCATCACTACAGACAGCTGTCATTTGAAGTTACCTTGGTTCTTCTGGAGGACATCTGTCTGATAAGTTCCCATTTTTATTTAAATGTGTTTTAAAGGGACATGAATTCAAGCATAACCATACTGTAGATTCAAATACATTTTATTATCCAGCATGATGTATGGATCAAGACATTAACAGTAAATGTTCAGTGAAAAATGAACAAGCTTGTTATAAAAAGTATAAATATAATACAATCCTCAGAATTTTAAGGACACTTAATACATTTTGTCATATGACATAAATAAACTATAGGGTTTCTCTTACAATATATTGTCTAAACCAGTAAGACAAAAACAGTAAAAGCCTCTTCTCTTTGCAAAGTTCATAGGGTTCTTTCTTTGAGAGTAGAGGTCAACGTGGACTATTTACAGTCTGTCATGTCAGCACCAAAAGAACAATACAGATTTTTTTTTTCTCTGCATGTGTGTGTATGGCCTGAGTTGTGTGGTAGAGGCAGAGAGACAATCACACAGAGATTTATCACCATTGTTTGGAGGCATTCTCTTCATTCATGGTGGTTTTCACTACCGGCGTCAGGTTAAATCTGACCAGCAAGGTCTCTATTGACTTTTTTATGTGTTTACTTTGACAGAAATAAACAATAGCCACAACATAGTTGGACGATTGCTAATGTCTTGGCTCACTTTAATGTTTTCCTCTTTTTCCTGACTTATAAAAACTCCAAATTGGCTGCTTCCAGCTCAGATTTTGAAGGCTGTGAAAACCTCACTTCCCCTGCGTTTGCCAGGGTGAACCTTTTGAAGGTTAGTGTGTCAGAGTATTTCCTGTCCCAGTTTCTGGGACAAGAAGACAAAATAGATTTCTATCAATTTACAATTACAAAACTGCCTCTTTTTTGGTATACAAGGCTAAAAAAGTGTGAGTAAACATCAACGTTTAAGCCTGAGACAACATCAAAAAATAGGTCATGTGCTTTCTAACACTCACAAAAACTACAAAAATAATATAATTCCCATTCAAAAAGAGAATGAAAGTCCTTAAGATTTGTGGTACTCTCTCATTCCAGCTGTTTGTGTAATCCTTTCATGGAATAAACTGAACACTACTCTTTATACAATATTTATAGCTTGAAGACTCTCAACGATCCACTGTAGCTTTCTTTTGAATGTTCATCATCTGAGGTTAACAATGTCTTTTCCTGACTTAGGACAGAGTGTCTGTGTGTGTGTTCAAAAACCAACAAATTGGGACTGCCTCAGCAGCTGCTCTTGGGATTCATTGACAGTGCCTTCATGGGGAGAGGCGTTTTGAGCTGCCACAAAGCTTGGAAAGTCCCGATTTAACATGTGTTGGAGGGCCACACAAATAAGGTGCCACATCTGTACACCAGGACACCAGCTCCATGGTACCAAGCCCACTGAAGACCTACACCAGCCCAGCTTCCCGGCACATTCGGTAGAACTGTCCACGCTGTGCGATGAGGTTGGCTGGAGAGTCCATCTCAGAAATGTGGCCTCTGTCCATGACAATCACTCTGTGAAGCAGCAAAAAAAGGTGGAGACAGGTTTTAGATCCAGATTTTTTTCTTGCACCTGATCTAACATATACAGTGTGTGTGTAATAAAGCTTTGGGTTTTGGGAGTCCAGACATTAAACTAGGCTGTGTGATAAGCCTTTGGTCAAACGTAGGTTGTGGATTGTAGGGCTATACCTAAGAATGAATTTATTTGGAAAAAAACTGAATTTCCATGAATTGTTTTGTCAGTAAAATGTGAAAAATAATGACAAATGTCCATTACAGTTTTTCAGACTCCAAAGTAATGCCTTTCCATGGCTTATTTTCTTAACAGTAAGAAAGGTTTTCAGGTTGGAGTGATATAAAACGCACATTTGAGAGGCTGTAGCCATCAAATATTTGGTATTTTACTTGATCAGTGACTTAAAATTAATAATTGATAATCCAAATAATTAATTAGTTTTCTGTCAGTCCACTGAATGCCACAAAAATGGACTACTCAGTGTACTGTACAGTACCTGGTATAGTCCATGATAGTGTTAAGGCGGTGAGCAATGGTCAGGACGGTGCAGTCTTCAAACTGTGTGCGGATTGTTGACTGGATGAGTGTGTCTGTTTCCAGATCCACAGCAGCTGTCGCCTCGTCCAAAACCAGGATCTTGGTTTTCCTCAGCAAGGCCCTGGCCAGGCACACCAGCTGGCGCTGACCCAGACTGCACAGACAAAGAATTGGAGAGAGAATAGGGGTAGAACCACATGTTAGATTCTATCCTGTATGTATCCTGCAGTGTTGTGTATACATCCCTGTCATAATATATTAGTGACAGACTAGGCCAAACAATGGATAGTGGTTTGTCTGCATTGCTGTGTGTCCTCTTAAGTATACTCATGTGTACCTGAGGTTTTCTCCTCCCTCTGAGCATTCATGGTTGAGTTTGTCAGGCAGATTAGAGACAAAGTTTTTGAGATGAGCGAGTTCCAGTGAACGCCACACCTCCTCATCAGTATAGGTGTCAAAGGGGTCGAGGTTCATTCGGAGGGAGCCTGAGAACAGCACAGGGTCCTGGGGGAGAGGACAGCAGATGTTATTCATCACCAAACTGTCCAGATTCGTAACGGGATTATTACAATTTAGAAGGGCTTATTTTACATTGGATACGGACTGCAGCTATTGCAAACAGTTTATGTGATGAGAGCCAGGGCTCAGTCTCTGTTATTACTGCTGTCGTACCTGAGGAATGATAGTAATGCGTGATCTGAGGTCATGAAGTCCGATGTCTGCGATGTTGACTCCATCTATAAAGATCTTTCCCTTTGCTGCCTCTAAGATCCTGAAGATTCCCAGGGCAAGAGAGGACTTTCCCGCTCCTGTCCTACCCACAATTCCAACCTATAATAGAGGTTTTTAGTCAGTTAGTTATGTGTGACATAATTCAAGCAATTAAAGTGATCCAGGATTAAGTCGGGTAAAGAATGCCATTAACATACAATATGACTCACCCTCTCTCTTTCATGAATATTCAAGGTGATGCCCTTCAGAGCCAACTCAAGGCCTTTACGGTACTGCAGCCCGTAGTCCTGGAACTCTAAAGTACCTCTCTGGGGCCAGGCCAGGGGCAAGGAGCTGCCCTCTACACTCCAACTGGCCTGAATAAGATAATAATAAAGGGTGAGTAAAGAACAGAAAAAGCTCTCTTGTTGTATGGTGGTGGATTTAGTGTCCTGTGATCACACCGCATCATGTATTTGTGTATGTGTGTGTGGTGGAAGCCCTGACCTCTTTAGCTGTATCAGCATACTCATTGACTCTCTCCACAGAAACAATGTTGTTTTCTACATCAGTCCAAGATCTCACAATCCAACTCAGGATTCCAGTCACCTGCAAAATCCAATGTAGTGAGGTTAACTTTAAATCGTTTTTTTTCCAGCACTGAAAATGCATCATACGGGTCACTTTTTCCAGTTTAACCTCTAATTGCCACATGCATGATGCAACTGGAATGAGTCCCACAATAATGTGTGGTGAATGAAAGTGGCTGTCTTCAACGTTAATAAGTCTAGTATTGGGACGTTCTACTGTGTGAGAATGTGCGTGAGCTTACCTGGAGAGAGTGTGACACAGCCAAACCAACGATGCCTGGGCTCAGGGTGTTTTTTCCCATCACAGAGAGAATAGCAGCAGCTAAGACCACACCATTACCAACGAACTCCAGATTTACTGCCAGCCACCTGTGGATATAATATTGAGTTAGCTGTAGCCAGACGAGTTCCAAAATGTGTCTAAAGCCAGAAGTCATTTAGTTTAACCATGTAACATAAAGCAATCACGGTAACTCTTTGGTGCTATGAGTCACCACCATCCATCATGATCAGTCAATGTGCAAATGAATGTATAAATGAAATTAAAGCATGCTATAGTCATCACACATCGTCTCACCGGGTGGCCACAAATCGGGGGAAGTAGGAGGTCTGATTGAAGTCGACCCTCTGATTAGCCTGCAGAATAAACCTGGGCTGCTCGCCAAAGGCCCGGATGACACTGGCGCCCTGCACCGTCTCGTTGAAGTGGGTGTAGATGGGCGAGCGGCTCACAGCTTCTAACCTCCGCAGCTGACAGGATGTGGCAACGTAGAAGCTCTGTAGCCCACAGTGGAAAAGTAAAACACCAGCTTTAATGAGTGAAACCATGGTCTTTCCCATAATTCATAGTGTGTAGCAAGTGTGTAACATCTATGTCAGCAGGTGGGGAACAAAACACAAGTGAACGGCAAAATCAGCAGGGTTGGTTTTGGAGCCCAGAGCTTTCCAATAACACGCTGTAATGGAATCCAGCTCTTGCTAAGCCACCTTCAACATAAGGCTCTCAAAGAAAACATGAGGATCAAAGTACTTAGTGATGACTATAAAGGTTGGGGA